TTGAGTAGAAAGATCCATTTCACAGATTATATTAAACTATTCACGCGCAATGTTTTCTCACAAGCTCTTATACAAAATGGGTGCAAAACAGTCAAACGATAGCATTCTGTGTAAGATGAAACTTGCGAATAGGTTTTTATTTCTTTGTTTTAGAAGGCCTTAACTGATTTAAATAGCACATAAACTTTTTTGATTCCGGCTTAGCTAACTCTTGGCTTTCTCAGATTTACGTGATATTCGAGGCTGATTTCGTGGCTCATAACAGTCCCGCTATTCAAAGTACCAAAATAGACGTTGCGCATGACGGTTGGCATTCGAAATAACGGGAGGACAGAAAGTGAAGCGAGAGTCCAAGCCGCGTGGAAGAGGCTATTGTCCGAGGTGAGCGATCCCAACTATATGTTTTAGAGCGCAGCTCTTAGGGGCCCGTTTCCGGCTTGAGCGGCGTCGCCGTCGGCGTCGGCGTCGCCGTCGGCGTAACCGCGAGGTCACGTGACCCCCCCGAGGTCACGTGACCCCAGAAGTCACGTGACTTCAGGGGTCACGTGACCTTAAGGGGGTCACGTGACCCACCCAGGTCACGTGACCTCAGAAGTCACGTGACCCCTTGAGGTCACGTGACCCCCTGAAGTCACGTGACTCACGTGACCCCCTGAAGTCACGTGACTTCTCGGGGTCACGTGAACCACCCAGGTCACGTGACCCCCTGAGGTCACGTGACCCCCTGAAGTGACGTGACCCCCTTGAGGTCACGTGACCCCCTAAGGTCATGTGACCCCTTCAGGTCACGTGACCCCCTGAGGTCACGTGACACCCCTAGGTCACGTGACCCCCCTGAAGTCACGTGACCCCCTGAAGGTCATGTGACCCCTTCAGGTCACGTGACCCCTGAGGTCACGTGACACCCCTAGGTCACGTCACCCCCTGAAGTCACGTGACCCCCTTGAAATCCCGTGACCCCCTGAAGTCACGCGACCCCTTGAGGTCACGTGACCCCCTAAGGTCATGTGACCCCTTCAGGTCATGTGACCCCCGAGGTCACGTGACCCCAAAGGTCACGTGACCCCCTGAGGTCACATGACCTCAAGAAGTCACCTATCCCTCAGTACGCCTCCATCTTCCTCCTCAAGAGCTGCGCTCTAACCGGCGTTACAGGGAATTGTAAACGGCTTTCATTTTTTCAGCTCCTTACCTCCAGACTGTTTATTACCCAAACATTTGCCCTTTAAGTAATGTAAAAATGCTTGCAAAAAAAAAAAGAAAGAAACAGCCGCTTATCATATATAATACCAATATCCGTGATTCAATGGCCACTGCCTTTATTAAATTTAACTTGAGAATAAGAAAAAGTACTACGTAGACTAACCAATTTCTTCAATGTGCCCGACGTTTCGAAGCCAGCTTGGCTCATTGTTCACGGGTGACTGTATATGGGCCCAAAGGTAGCAACCTGTCGTCGTTTTCTTCTTTTCTCTCTTAGCTTTGTTTTCTTCTTCTGTTTCTGTGTGTGGCGCACTTTAGCCCGAGTATTTAGCTGCTTGGAACCGTTCCGGTGGATCAGTTCAGATTGTTGCTTGTATTTTGTATGTGCCAAGATTCTATTAAGAGCCGCTTTCTCCAGTTTCTTTCTGTGTCCAGGATGGAACTGCTGTCAAAGCCAATGACGTGGCCTGTCTTCTGAGCACGGAAAGAAGTTTAACTTCACTACTGTTCATACTCCTCTCGCACTCATGGCAGCTTCCGTTGAGGAGCGTTTACACAAACTAGACCCTTGCATCCGCGAAGAAGCTCGCTTGAAAGCCATTGGCGTACTTTCAGAGGTAAACCAAAGGAGGCATTTGAACTATGGCACAGAAGAAAGGTCCGCCCTCAGAAAGCTAAAGGAAAACAACAGCATCGTAATTCTTCATGCTGACAAAGGGAATGTCACAGTGGTGATGGACCGCACAGACTATGAGGAGAAGGTGCACGCACTTCTCAACACCAAAGCGTACATGATGCTACCGAAAGACCCGACATCAAAAATTCAAGGAATCTTAAGCAAAGCACTTCACGCAGTCTTCAACAAATATCCAGAGTTTAGGGCTCTCTACCTTAGTCTTATCTGCCGAAACAGATTGACACCTGCGTTCTACGGCTTACCGAAGATACACAAGTGTGGAATTCCGCTTCGTCCCATAGTTGACTTTACAACGTCGCCATTACGAGCGCTGTCAAACTATTTCCATCGTCTGTTTCTTCCACTCAAGGGGAAGACCAACACACATGTCGAGAACACAGCCTACTTCATCGAACTCGCTTCGGACCTGCAATTGAACGACGACGAGTGCCTTGTTTCATTTGTTGTGGTATCTCTCTTCACGAGTATTCCCATTCGACTCGCGGTGTCTGTTGTCAGAACGGCACTCAAGGCCGACACGACTCTACCTGAAAGAACACACCTCTCGGTAAATGAGATATGTCGGCTACTGGAGCTGTGCCTGACAAATACCTACTTTTCTTTCGCTGGTCGCTACTACAAGCAAAGTAGTGGCACAGCCATGGGTACCGCTGTGTCCGTCACTGTAGGCAACCTCACAATGGAAGCCATCGAGCAAAAAGCCTTAAGCACATTTTGTCCCACACCGACTCTGTTTCTACGTTACGTGGATGATTGCTTCTTTGTTGCCAAGACCAGCGAAGTCGATTGCCTTCACAAATATCTCAATTCTATCCATCCAGACATTCAATTCATGGTTGAACATTAGTCTAAAGGGTGCCTTCCATTTCTGGATGTGTCAGTGGAAAAAACAGGGAACCATTTATCCTTCCAAGTATACAGGAAAGCAACGCACACCGGTCGCTACCTAAACTTCTCGTCAGACCACCCTGCGACTCACAAATCCTCTGTAGTGTCGGCGCTCTTTCGACGCGCCCTCACGGTCTGCTCAACAAAGAAGTCACTTAAGATGGAAGTCGATGTTATAAAGCTGTACCTTCGGAAAAACAACTATTTCACGAGATTTGTCAACAAAATATACAAACAACTTCTTCACCCTCCTACATCCAAGAACAAAAACACCTCCAGCCGCATGTGCGTCCCGTACCTCCATGGCACGAGCGAGGTCCTAGCCCGCGTTTTGAGACCGTACGGCATTGCAGTTACGCATAAACCTGTCTCAACTCTAGGCCATTTTCTTCCTCTTCAAAAGGATCGTCCACCAAAAGAAAAAGCTCAAGGCCTGATTTACCAAATTCCTTGTGCCGAATGCGACGCCTCTTATGTGGGGGAAACGAAGAACTTTCCCCGAACGTCTGCGTAGACATAAGTATGACGTAAAGAAGAAAGACATCCAAGGCAGCGCGCTGGCGGAACATGCTCAGAAGACCGGCCACGTCATTGGCTTTGACAGCAGTTCCATCCTCGACACAGAAAGAAACTGGAGAAAGCGGCTCTTAATAGAATCTTGGCACATACAAAATACAAGCAACAATCTGAACCGATCCACCGGAACGCTTCCAAGCAGCTATATACACGGGCTAAAGTGCGCCACACACAGAAACTGAAGAAGAAAACAAAGCTAAGAGAGAAGAGAAGAAAACGACGACAGGTTGCTACCTTTGGGCCCATATACAGTCACCCGTGAACAATGAGCCGAGCTAGCTGGCTTCGGAACGTCGGGCACATTGAAGAAATCGGTTAGAGTCTACGTAGTACTTTTTCTTATTGCTTACCTAACCAGAGGGAGTTCTGCCGAAATGTTTACATTTAACTTGAGAATAACAGTCTCGGTCTCAAAGGTGGCGGTCTGCGTCCTTATAATTTGGTTCAAGCCTTGACGCGAAGCGTTCCTTTTTTGTTTCTTCTTCTGAACAACGCAAATTGAGCGATAGCCCTATGACAAACAAAAAGTATGAATCCGTTTAATAAATATGCGAATACAGATGAACAATTATAAAAACTTCAATAACCTTATTACGATCTTTTAATAGGTTTAAGTGCGTTTATTGAACAATTCATATAAAACAATTCCTGTTTCTTGTAGGCTGACTGATTAATCGAAAGTGTCTCTATTTTACAGGTTGACCGTTCTTGGATAAGTCATTTTGGGACAGAGAGGGAAACCTTAAGGAAGTCATTTTTTAAGGCGTGCCTAAAACAGTTAGGGTCTTGTAACGTACCTTTTCTCGACAAAGTGACAAGATTCTTAATAGTGTTTCACGGACGCCACCGAGTTATTTGAGAACCTGACCGATTTTATAGGCATGAATTTTTTTGTTGTTTATTATCCGACGCCACTCTAAATCGCTGAAGACAAGAAAATGTTTTTATGTGCCTGGATATGACACGCATGTCACGAAACAAGCTTTTTCCTAAAACAAGACTTTCCCGTAAAAAATAAATCTTCTGATTTGAGTCGACGCGACGAAAGAAAAACCATGTTCGAAATCGCTTCTTTCTCAGAATGAGTCTCACGACTTAAGTACTGCGCTAACTACTTTGTTTATTCGGGAATATTCATTTTTGTGATATAGGCGCACTGTGCAGGCACTTAAATGGAAGTTAAGTATCCTTTGGAGCGATTCCGAAATATGCTTTCATTTCGGGTCGACGTACCGAAAAAAAAAAAAAGCGTGTTTTGGGGATCGCGCCTAACTCAAAGTATATTTCGCGAAGGAAATATAGTGCTAAAGGTTTCTTTTTTTTTCCCGGAAAACTACGTTTCGTGACATATCCGTCCTAATCTGTCACTTACAAGACAAACAAAAAGCGTTTTTCTGGAGGGTTTGGTGTTTTTGTGAGCGGGCCTGAGACATGCTTTCGTTTAGAGTCAACAATCCGAAAAGTAATCGTGTTTTATAATTTCTACTAAATGGGTCTCGAGACTCACGTATTATGCGAAAATTCTTTTTCTGGAAAAAAAAAAATAATTTGGCGGCATACATACCTTGTCCAGTCACTTAAAAAAAAGTAGCGGAGGAGTTGAGCGTTTGACTAGAGAATTTTGTTTCCCCTGCAGTTAATGCCCGGAGTGCTGCTGGCCATGCTCTGGGACCTGGGCTTCCCGTGCCTGCTGTCCGCCTTCTCGCTCCTCCAGCTCGCCTTTCTGCAGATCACCCAGATGCAGGCGAGCCCGTCCCGCATCGGCGACGAGACCTGCATCTCGCTCGTGGTGGTGCTACACTTCTGCCTCGCCATCCTCTCAGACATCCTCTGGGCCATGCAAAACTCTACCAGGGTTCGTTAAACACAACAACTACAACATATTCGCGAAAACTGTTCTTTAGAGTCTGCTTTTGTAAAGCGCACCCCCCAAAAAACACGAAGAGCACGTAGAGTGTCGTTGGAAATGTTCGGGAGAGGAGAGCGGCGAGACGGGGAAGGGGTATTTCAATCCGCTTTTCCCTGTTCTGACGCAAGTGAGCACATAACGTTGCTTAATTCGAAATGTCGCCTGAACAGCACCGGTGAAACCAGGACACTAGTTACGACTCTCCACATAGTTGCATATTAAAAGAATGACACTGCGTCAAAAGAGAATGTCGCGTATGTGAATTATGCGGCGTTATAACAATGCGTTCGACAGACATTGTAAATTACGCCATGAAAGGTTTTATTTTGGAATGAATAAGCACTAGCAATCGATATGTGCATTATTCGACCAATAACTACGAATGTTTCGTATTTCGTTTGTATAAGAAAACTCGAGTTAATGGCGTATAAGAAGCAACATGTTTTCTCACTCTGTCGTTTTTATTTAATGGTGCGACAGCTTTCAGCCATTCAAAGAGTTTGTATTTCTTAGCTTCAGCAATTTATTAGCGCTACATATTTACGAGGCGGTTGATAGGAATGACGCCTGCACATTACGAGGACACTTGCACAAAAAATAACATTGGCAACCCACATTTCATTTGCGTTTTATATGAATCACCTAATCGACCTTAGCAGGCATCCTTCTGAAGCCACCTGATTTATATTTTTACAGGAAATATTATTTTAACTAAAACAAATTTTGGTTAAAAAAAATACGACGTAGGTAGATCATTGCGGTCTTTCCAGGGAGTTATTCATCCAGGCGAAATAACTATAGGGGGTTAATTGTCACGAGAATTCGAACAATTCCCTAAAATTTGCTCATTATGTTTTAATTTGTGAACATGTGGCTCTAATTATGGTCACACTCGTACAGCAGGTGCCACGTATTATATGGTTTCAATTCGGACATGCTGAGCATTATCTAAAGCCACTGCATCAGTCAATTAAAAAAAGCTCGAGGTGCACCTAAGCACTTCTTATGAGTTGTGAGTGGGAAAGCATGCAAGCCGCTCGTCCGCTCCCTTTTTCGTGTGGATGCCTGAGGTGGCGCCATTTCGTCGGTGTCCAGACGAGTAGAAGCACCGCCGACGATGTGGATGCTGGAGGCGGCGCCATGTTTGTCGGCGACGAGACGAGCAGAGGCCGCCGAGCGAGCGCCAACGTGTCGGCAGTCGGTGAAGCTGACGCCCAGCGTCAGTTTCAGCGCCCGGCCACCCCATGGCGCTGCGTGTCCGGCCTCGTCGACGCGCGTCGTTCAATGGGACCGAAGTGTGAAAAGTGCCGTTGGCTAGCTTTGCGCATGGTTTCATAGCTGGGAGTTGGCGAGAAGGATTCAAGAGCCGTTTGGCGCGGCTTCAAAGCTGATAACTTCGGCTCGCTCCGTAAGACAATTAATGCTTTCGCATTAAAAAAAAAAAGTATTTGGAGCACGTGGTAAGAGCGGCAACGTGCTAAAGCTTCCATTCGTGCAGCAGGCGCAACATAGACGGTTCGAAAACGCGGATAAAAAGGTTCTCATCCACCTTTTTGGTCCGCCAGTGTTGTGCCTGATGCACGAGTGCAAACTTCAGCGCACCCCGGCGCTTTCCACGTGTTTTAAATACCTCTAAAAGCTGACTGGTTTGGAGATAGTGGGAGGAATCTCAGCAAGTTTTATTTAAAACCATGTGTTTATAGTGAATAACTGAAAATTGAGCACATTTTAGGTGATATCATGTCCTCCTGGCTGTATAACTCACCTACTCAGACCGAATTGTTCTGCGATTTCTGGCTTTTTTATAATATAAATTTGTTCGAATTAAAACCTAACACCTCGTGTATATGTGTATGTAGAGGTTTCGCTCTGTACTATTGTAGCGTAGCGCTCTTTTTGCACTGCATCATTTTATCGATGCGTTTTTTTTTTTTCTCGGGTCGTGTTTGTACGCGCAGTATTTAAACTCTCCCGTCTTTTTTCTCGGGTCCCGTCATGTGATGTTGTCTCTGTGTCCGGGCTTTTTGTTCTAAAAAAAAAAAAAAAAACAGTAATAAACGAAATCTTTTGAAGCATGTGGACATGTAGTTATTTCCAGGCTACGTTCTCCCAATTTTCTGCTGCAGTAAAGAGTCAAGGTACCCAGAAAAATCCACTCACTCGAAGCTACCACTACCATGTTTTTATGTGCCTTTTAAGATCGCTTTTTAACTTGAATTCCAGTTGCGACATTTTGTGCTTACAGTACATCTTTCAGAAGAACGGGATCAAAAGAGCACGAAAAGGAAATTAGGGTAATGAGGACATGTGAGTGCTTTTCACTTAGCTTGCACTTGACGCCACCGCAGCACGTATAGTTAAAAAAAAAAGCCTGGATGAACAGTTTCATGACAAATACGGTACCTATGTGCATCGCGGTTGTAGAAATTTTATGGTTTTGTTCGAAATATCCATGATAAAAGTTTTCTAGATAACGAAATATTTAACAGTGCATCTAACAGCTTTATATAAGTAATAAAAACGCGGATGTGCCACATCACTGAAGTATACTCTAAAAATAACTTGGGGTCAATAGTATTTATTTCACCATGTGCAGGCTTCAAATAATTATATTTATCCTTCTCAATACATTAGTAACTATAACAACCAAAGCAGCAGTACTTAACTATAAACTTCTGAACCATGCCAATTGAATTAGTGCGCTGACAGACGAGTATAAACTTCCAGGCACATTCTGTTCTGATGTGAGCTCACGGCCGGAAGCTATATTGTAAACGCCACAACAGCTTTTCCCAAATATGTGATGTGGTTGCCAGATGCCGTAGCTTTATCGTTTTTACTCTGAATCTCAATATGTGTAAAACTCTTCTTAAAAAAACAAAAAACAAAAAAAAACATTTGATTTATTATAATTATGGTTTATGCCACAACTGCGAAATGCAACTTAAATATGACTACATTGGCGAAAATTACGTTATGTCGAGTATTTTTTGGGTATATATACCCTACTTAATTTTATAAATATAAACAAAAAACAGTCGCACCGAAAGCATGTAGCTTAACGTTTATCATATTCGTTTTTTTTTTTTTTTTTATCTTCGGCATTTCTTCGTCTTTTGTAGCGCGTGTTGACTACAGCTATGAGAAAACAATAAATACTCGCGGTTTATTGAAATAGAGAGTCTTTCGGCTTTGAGCAAACAGATCATAGTTCCTTCATTATAATGTGTAGTTAGTTTAAATTAATAGCTCCTGATTCTGAAGTCTAGAAATATTATTACGACTTGTATACTGAAACCAATATGCGTGGACATTTAATATTGAATATTTTAATTGTTATATTTTTATTGTATTGTTATAATTTCGAAATACATAACATGTTTACGCCATGAAAAAACGTTTCCATATGAAAAAAATAAATATAAATATAGCCAGAACACGATTTTTCCACGAGAAAGCTTTTTGCTTGCCTAAATGCTGCACACAAGTGATTCAATTCACGTGCTGTGTCTCTTTTCCCTCGCAGGTCGTGTGGTTGTTCACGCAGCTCTCGTTCACGGCCTGGGGTTTGTTTGTGTGCTCTGCCTGCGTGTGCTCCTGCCTGCGGCTTCAGCGGTCCATTGCGCAGCTGCCCATGCTCCTGTTCCTGCCTCCCCAGCCGAGTGCACAGGACGCCATTGTGGTGGCAGCCTGCTACGACAACAAGGGCGTTCTACCTCTGGGCACCCTTGACCGGTGAGGCCAGAATTGTGACGTGAGTCTGGCGGTGGAACGTGAAAGAGCGCGCTATAAACACATTAGCGACGGGTTTAATTAAGAAGGAAAATAATGTAGGACGCATGCCATTTACGTGTACAGGTTGTATTCACCGGACGCCACATTTCAGTGTGCTTTGCACTAAGCATGCTCAGAACGAAATCCCATTTATAGGGTGCTCAGACCCTTTACAGATAATCAAAATACGCATTCCAAAAAAAGAAAAAAAGTGGAAGTGTGTTGTTTGCACGCAGGAGATAAAGTTTCACTGATCTAAATGTCTTATCTGTTGACGCTCGCTCCTCCTGGCGTTTCTTGCCAATCGCGATGATGGTCCTGACATCCTTGGCTCTATGAGGAGAGCACCAACCTAGGTGGTGTCGTTCCGTGGTCGTCCCTCTTGCTACCGTTTCTTCTTTCTTTATTTTTTTATTCCAGTCTTTTTCTTTTATCGAACAATACAATCTAAGTTACCGCAGTAGGTAAATTGCTATTCTCAGATCTCTCAAAGGAACATTCCGGAACCCTCAGAGTGGACACCCGTCTGAGTCTTTAGGAATTTTCAAGTGGCAGCCTGATCTACCTTTATGTTTTGTTAGGTCCTTTCACCTAGCGGGATTAAAAGTAGGAGCATAATTTTGTTATATGCCTATACCTTTTAAGCGATTACATTAACTTGAGACAGTGTTGGAGCGCAATAATGTTTTATTTCTGATAATGTTCAAGTTACGCTGAAGAATAGAAAAAAAGTAAATACCGAGGAGTATTTGCTTTGCTTCAGTTCAACAAAATAGCCGATTATCGCTGTTTCCTCCTCATATGTACCTCGACAGGTCTCAAAGCTTTAACATAGTATGCCAACATTAAAACGCATAAATAATGATAAAAAAGCGGATCGTATAAACTAGAACCTTGTTTATTATTTGGCGCACACATTTTATTTTGCATGACTTAGCTTACATCAAAGTCACTTGGGATCGACATACTTGTGGAGGGCAGCACTCGAGATCTGTATAAGGAATAGGAAATCATACAAAATATGCAAGGCCCATTCTCAACGAGCTCGTGTCTTGAACATACTAGAACATAATTCCACTTAAAGCCTAAAACGGAAAGCCGCTCTGCGATTGAGGGGATATTCCATGGCAGTGCTTATCAATTCTTCGGTACTTTCTTGGTATACTACTATTTTGATTGGCAACTTCTTTCATTCCTTTATTGTCGACTGGAACGGGGATATATATATACATATATATATATATACATATATATATATATATATATATATATATATATATATATATATATTGTTACAGATCGCTTTTTTCGTTGCTGCCACTTCGTCCTTCTCCCCCTACCAACCACTTCTTCCTCTTCTTTTCCTCGTTTTTGTCCCGCTCGTTGCACCTCAATGTCCTACTGTCACATTTTGCCCCCTCCTGGTTGACTGTCGGTCCTCTGCAGTCTGTGTCCCATGCTGGTCTTGACTGAATGTATGTCTTGACACGTACAGCTTCAGTTGTCTGAGGTGAGCCGGGAAAGTTCGGGATGCTTCACGAGGTGCATTGAGGTATCCTAGCCGGTAGCTCACGGGTCCTGTTTGTCGAAGCACTTCACAGGGTCCTTTGTATTTTGGAAGTAGCTTGGTTGCTTTTCCTTTCCTTCTAACGGGACGGCGTACAAGAACAAGGTCCCCTGGCACGATGGGGGACATTCGGTCATCCTGTCGGTGATAGGTTAGCATACGCTGCTGGGCTTTGGTTATTGCGACGCGAGCCCGGCGGCGAGCCTCGTTGAGTCTGTCCTCAAAATGATCGCTCATTTCTTGCCTTCTATGGTTCCACGTGGTGGATAACGTTGGTTCCTGCGGCAGAACCGGAGTTCTACCGTACACCAGTTTAAAAGGGGTCGTCGTGGTACTTGCTTGTTGCGACGTGTTCAAAGCAAACGATGCGTATGGTACGTACACATCCCAATCGTCATGCGAAGCATTAACATAAGCGTACAATATATCGGCGATAGTTCGATTAGTACGCTCAACGAGTCCGTTGGTTTGGGGATGGTAGGGTGCTGACTGGGCGTGGTGTATTCCATGAGTTACCATCTCGTGTTTAAAAATACGAGAGCTGAATAAAGTTCCCCGGTCAGTGAGTACGGTGCGGGGCACGCCGTGGCGAAGTACTATTTGCTAACCTAGAAACTCCACAATGTGATTCGCTGACGTTGTAGGCACGGCACGTAGCTCAATCCACTTTGTAAGGTGGTCAACAGCAACAATAATGAAACGGTTACCCTTTTGTGATTTCGGAAATGGTCCTAAATGATCAAGTCCAATAATTTCGAAAGCAGCTTGCGGTGGTTGAGTTGGATGAATCTCGGTGAAAGGTGAAATACTGGGCAATTTCCTCCTTTGACAGGATTCACAGGAAACGACATACCTGGAAACATCTTTCCGGAATCCGTGCCACCAATAGCGTTCGGAAAGTTTGGCCAGAGTCTTATCTCGACCGAGGTGACCCGCTGTGGGGTCATCATGGCAGAGATTCAACATGGTAGCCCTCAGAGAAGCTGGAATCACTGGTAGCCATTGTTGTTGACCGGGATTTCTGTGACAGAGTAGGCCATTTTCCACTCGGTATGCTCGACGCAGTCGCCGTAAAATGTCTGTCGAACCGGATAATGCGAGGCGCTGTACAATATCATGTACTTCGTTATCTTGACATTAACTGTGACGTAGGTCGAAAGTCGCACCGCAAAAACAAGTGTGACACTCCGGAACCTCAGGGATCTTGTCTAGTGGGTTGCGGGATAGAAAGTCAGCGTCCTGATGACTACGTCCGTTACGATGTATGACTTCAAAATCATACTCTTGCAGTAGAATCGCCCAGCGTGCCAGTTTGGCCGTCAAGTCTCGTTTGCTCTGAAGCCAGCTCAATGCTGAATTATCCGTCAGAACAGTAAAATGGCGGGCATAAAGGTAAGGGCGAAATTTTTGCACCGACCAGACAAGGGCCAGACATTCTAATTCAGATGAATGATTCCTCTCTTCTTGTTGTGTAAGTCTGCGACTTGCGTATGAAATTACTCTTTAAGTACCGTCTGGAAATTCTTGAAGTAGTACAGCTCCAAGTCCTTGTCCGCTAGTATCCGTGTGGAGAATTGTCTTTGACAAGGACGGGTCGAAGTGAGCAAGCACTGGGGCGTTTAGAAGGGCCATTTTTAGTTCTTGAAACGAGGACTGCTCTTTGTTGCCCCATCGCCATGGTACGTTCTTCCGGAGTAAGTAATTCAAGGGGGCAGCGTGGGTAGCAAAGTTAACAATAAAACGGCGGAAATATGACGCAAATCCCAAAAAACTTCTTTATTCTTTATTCTTTATTCAGGGAACTCCTGCAGCGCCTAGAAGGCATTATTGCAGGGGGCGAATAATAACGAAAAGAACATATCAACATTTGCAGCACAAACTATACATTCCTGTAAAGCGTTCCAGTCCTTGACCGTCCTCACAAAAAACGAATTTTTGCAGAGCTCCGTCCTAGTACAGTATTCGCGTATCTTGTGCACATGATCATTACGTTTGGAAAAATAATTTGGTAGTTGTTGGCGTCGGATATTCAAACAAAGCCTCAAGCTTCGAGGGATCAGGTTTAACACCGTTTTTGTTTACCACATGTCCCAAGTATGTGATATCTTTGAAGCCGAAAAAACAGTTTTGGGGCTTCAGACGAAGGTTGGCCTCACCTATGGCGTCAAGTACGAGTGAGAGTCTTCGAAGATGTTCTTCAAAAGTGTTTGCGTAGATTACAACGTCGTCCAAATACACCAGCGCCATTGTCCACTTCAGATTGCCCAAAACTCGGTCCATGAGTCTTTGAAATGTCGCTGGGGCATTGCAAAGGCCAAAGGGAACACGGTTGAATTGGTAGAGACCATCTGGTGTGATGAAGGCTGACTTTTCAGCGTCCCTTTTATCGAGTGGCACCTGCTAGTATCCCGACATCAAATCCAATGTTGTAAAGTATTCCGCTCCCTGCAGTCGGTCAAGGGTATCATCAAGACGTGGAAGAGGGTACACATCGAGCTTGGTTGTACTCACTGATCTCTATGTCTATTTGCTGGATCGCGTTTGACCAGCTCCTCCTATGGACCGGAATGCGGTCACTGGCGGCCATCTTTAGGTAGAGTTATATCATCTCTAGCCATCATAGTAATATGGCGGACAGCGCAATGGCGGCAGGCTGCCATGAAAATAGCCGTAGATCTAGTACACTGTACCGTGGGTGACATTTCGTGCTTGATTGAAGTTGTTCGATGAAGCAGATTCTTGAAACCCGGCGTGAACGGTAGCCTCATTTTTGAGGACCCGGCAAAAGTTCTACGAAAGCGCAGCACCGGGGGAAAGCAGCGCAGCTCGCATCAAAAGCAGACTCCGTACCGTCGTCTGCTTTCGATGCTTCTTTCGATGCGACTTTCGATACGTGCTGTGCTGCTTTTCTCCCGGTGCTGCGATTTCGTGAAACTTTTACCAGGTCCTCAAAAACCGGACTACTGTTCACGCCGGGTTTTAAAAACATGTTTCGTCAAATAATTTTAATCAAGCACGCAATATCACCCATGCTATTTTGACCGCAGCCTGCCAAGCCACCTGCCAAAACGCTCTCTGCCATGGATGGATGATAGCGGCTGCAGCAGCTTACATTGCCTAGAGGTGATATAACTCTACCTAAAGATGGCCGCCAGTGACCGCATTCGCGGAGCGGGCAAACGCGATCCAGCAATTGTCATAGAGATCAGTGGTTGTACTATTAAGCTTCCTGTAATCTACACAAAACCACAGAGTGCCATCTTTCTTTCTCACTAACACCACTGGTGATGACCATGGGCTCGTTGACGGACTCACCACACCGTGGTCGAGCATCTCAGTCACTTGTTGTTTGATGGTTTCACGCTCTCTTGGGACTAGGCGGCGTAGTGGCTGATGTATTGGTCGGCTGTCACCGGTGTCAATGGTATGTGTTGCATACGGTGTGCATCCAAGTTCGTCCGGACTTAGGGCGATGCAGTTTCGATGTGACAACAATACCCTCTTGATTTTTGTTTTCTGCTCGCAACTCAATCCTGGTCCAAACTTAAATTGTTCCCACGGTAAAGAATTATCCTGACTGTAAAAACGGCACTCGTTATCTGACTCTAGAGAAATACTGGCAAGTATTGAGATCTTGTCCTTCGCCAATGGTTGGAGTACACCAATCTGTTTCCCTGGATTGAGAGTGATGTTGTTGGCACCTAGATTAACGACTAGAGCGACGAATTCTCCATTGGTACAAGCCACGAGCGTCCGCGGTGCAGCTAGTTCTTTCCCTGGTTTCGCACAGGGCCACGAGTCGAAAACAGCTTCACCGTAAACCTTTTTGTTGTTTACAGTCAGGCGTATCATTGAAGCAGTCTCGGCAGGTATTGTAGCAGAGTCTTTAACGGATACGTTTAATTCATCCGATAGCTGTACTCGAGCACATATGATGTTGGTATATTGGGAGGAAAACTTTAGAAATAGGTGCCACTTTTCCACGGCGACGAGGGAAAATGAGTGAACGAGGTACACAAGCCACACAAACATACTTTCGCATCGTGGAATGCTGGTGTGTAATGTTTTCATGGGTGGATGCGGGGTTTTGGTGGCCTTGTTCTGTTCGGGGTTCAACTTAAAAAATCCGTTTTTCTGGCACCACTCATAACCCAGAATGATCGGAGAGACGGAATTCGACAAAATTACGAAGTCCACTAACGACGTCTCACCGAGCGCAGTGACCAATAACTTCACTTGTCCACCGGTGTGAACTTTGATGCCGTTTGCTGTGAAAAGTTGTGGAGCAATCGGGGAGACATTACAATCAGCCGGTACAAGCGTCGCGTCGATTATGTTAACCGCTGCTCCAGTATCGAGGAGACTTTTTTTGATTCCAATTCCTTGAATCTCCACTTTGGTAGTTGGAAGACCAGTAAAACTCCTTGAAAGAGAGACGAGGGGGACTTGGTCCTCTATACCCGATCCCGCCCCTGTGGATCGGGATATCCGTTTCCCGACGCGCTGTAACACTCTGCAGCCAAGTGTCCTTGTCGCCCGCATTGAAAACAGCGCCTCTTGGTGTTAACTCGTTGGTGACCTTCAGGTTGCTGGCGTGCTCCAGGCGTCTCCAGATGAGTAGTTGGCTGTAACTGTGCCGGGCAAGAAGCCTGGGCGTTTGCTGTTGCCTTTTGAATGGCTGAGATCTCCAACGACTTAGCCAAAGGCTCTTGAACTGTCTTTGGCCCTCCAAGTCGAACAAATTTTTGAACTTCAGTGTCCGCAATGGCGTCGACGAAGGCAGTAGTGCTGAGAAGGTGAAAAGTGGCGGCGGAAACTCCCAGAAATGATTTTCGCGCCAGGCACTCAACTTCCGTTGCCAGGACTTGGAGTGTTTCCTCCGGCTGTTGTCGACGGCAACGTAACTCGCCATAGCGGACGTGTTGTAGATGTTTGTCGCCAAAGCGGTCTTCAAGTGCCGCTACCAACGTTTGGTAGGTTAGAGCTCTTCCTTGAAGTTGGGCCAGTATCGCGATGGCTGGTCCCTGTAGTTGTGCCGCAAGAGCGTGAGTTGTTTCATCTTCGGACCATTGGTTTACTTGAGCCACAATGTTAGCTTGCTCGAGGTAAAGGTCAAGTGGCCCGCTACCATCGAAAGGCTTCAGTTTCAAACGAAAAAAAATCCAAGTTGCCGAAAATGTGCGTACCGATGCTGAGTCGGTCCGATTCTCCGAGTCTCTCCTTTCCTCTAGCGCTATGATTCTTTGTCGAAGGTCTTCTTGTGCAGACGTAACGGGTTGCAGCTGCGCCTGGACCATAGCCGCCATTATTGACTCGAAGCCCTGTCTCTGCTCCACGAACAGATCCCTCGGTTGGGCGTAGGTAACTGGACCTTCAGTGTTGCTGGTGTCCTCGGGAGAAGGGGAAGGTTCGCCAGAACGAGCTTGTTGTCGTGTGAAGGGCATTTTCTTTTCGCAGATCCCACTTCTGACACCAAAATGTTACAGATCGCTTTTTTCGTTGCTGCCACTTCGTCCTTCTCCCCCCTAACAACCACTTCTTCCTCTTCTTTTCCTCCTTTTTTTCCCGCTCGTTGGACCTCAGTGTCCTACTGTCACAATATATATATATATATATATATATATATATATATAAGATAAGTACTGCCGGGCCTTGAAACAAACATTTTGGTGCTGATCCTATCGTAAAAAGGTTGAGTGAAATTGTGGTATTGAAAAGCCGGAGAGTGTTTTTTTTTTTTTCGTAAATTAAAAGGCGAGGGTATTCCAGCAGTTCCGCAATGCTGAACTGGTTCTACACGCTATTAAGCGAGCGGAATAAAGATGAAATATAGGAGACAAAACAGGCCTAAGTGAGAAAATGTGAAAAGCTATAATTGCTATCAAAGATTAGTTGTAGGCCTTTAGAACTTGGATTGAAACTCAACGCACTTTGTTGCGCTTTTTTGCGCAAATTTGTTTCCTCCGGTACGGTAAACTTTATTTGAATGCGTGGTGGGATGAGACAAATGTTTTCGCGGTTTTCTTTGAATATTCGCCGTAGGCTTAGGTTAGTTGTGGTGAGGAAACGGTCTTAAACAAAAGAACTTGAAAGGCGAAATAATTATACGTTTATTAACATATTACGGGTATATACTTATGCTAAAATTGGGGAAAACACTTTCCAAGTCCCAAGCCCCCTAGCTGGCACACAGCGGAGTGAAATAGCAACAGTTTTCAGGTAAATAACAGTTTTCAGGTAAATGTCCTTGACAAAAGAAGCAAAAACATTGACAAACGTTGAAGTAAAAAAATAAAAAAAAATAATTGAAGGGGCTTTGCAATTTCTCAAATGGTACAACAGTGACAGAAACAAGTTGGAAAATAGTTACGATGTAAAGTAATTTTGGGTCGAGGAATTCTGCTTCAATGCAAGGAAAGAACGATAAATTCTTTGAGCAAATCCGCTTAAATGCACGCCCTACGTTCAAGCGACAGTTGAATATAACTAGGCCAGCTTTCAAAGCTGTCGGCATATACGTTTCGGGCTCAAATTTCTCTCAGCCCCAACATCAAAATGTCAGATTGTCGCACCATTTTCCCTAATTGAAAATACATTTCCGAACATAGGCCCGTTCCCAGCCGCCCTCCTGTCTCTCTGACGAGACCCCGAGAGACCTTCGAGTCCCACCACATCACCAGAGGCCCTTCGCGTGGGGCTTGGGACCCGATGGCGCCGAGGATCCGCATCACGGACGAGCACCAGCGCACCCTGAGCCTCAGCGGACCCGAGGGATCATCACCGCCATCCAACGACCACGGAGCACGTTGGTCACATATTGCTCCTTCTGGGATTTCATTGACTGAGGCATCCAAGCCGTTGAACCTTGTTTAAGCTATCGAAAGCACGAAGAGTAAGGGCCCATGCACACATCTGCATTTGAGCGCTTTGAGTTCCCTTGGGGCAAACGGCTGCGGAACGTTGCCGGGAGCTTTTGCGCCAAGCTTGTGCACGCAGGTGCGTCGACAAGCAGTCGACCACTGTCAATATACATTAAAAACGCGCTATCGTCGCTCGCGGATCATCAATAGTAAGCGAAATCTCCGAAAACATGGCGGCGCCTGGCAACAAAATCGAGGTTGATCGAAATGGCCGATCTTGGGACGATTCCGCTGTCTTGCGTTACTTCTGTTCAGCCTGGACGCGCATCGCTGACATTGACGGGCGCGGCCGAGCACGTGAACCTCCCTTTATTTTTTTTCGCTTGTGATTGGTGTACCGCAACGCAACGCTTTGGAAAGTTGAGCCAAGCTTTACTCTCTGGCGTTGCGCTGCGGAGCTGTGCGCGACCGCGTGCTTCGTAACGCAAGCAGTCGGTTACGATAGAAAAGACGCCGTTCCGCATTCAGACGCGTTCAAACACGAATGCGTGTATGGGCATCAAGTTTTGCATAGCCGTTCATGGGCACAGTTGGATCGCTAGAATAAAGTTTTTGTTAACGGGCGCAGGAAACCTGGGTGATGTTAAGCCTGGTGAAAGGTACCTTAGACTGCGGTTCATTAAAACCGCGGTGCACGCACTCATAGCAACGCTAAGTCAGCCCTAAAAACAGCGCTGATGCAACATTGACATAAACGTAACTTAGTAGTGACGCAGGGCTGTATGAGCTCTGTATCACTTGTATACAGCGCGAACGTATTGCCGCATCAGTAAGGTTAGCGATATTTCCATCGCTGCCTAATAGCGCTGAGGTAGTGTTATGGCATATGTGTGAACATGACTTTGGAGGGCAATATTCTTGTTTTGTCCTCAAGGAAACCCAAATTTTGGGTACTTCTGAGAACCTTCATTAAATGATGTTGGTAACCTTGTTGTATAGGAGTGTTAAGAGAAGTGCAACTCTCTCACAGTAATGCTTGATAAGAAATGGTTAGGAAGAAATAGCCTAAAATACATTGGTGATAAATATACTGAAATACATAAAAACAGACATCTAAATAGGCGTCACGATGCGCAAAAAAAAAAAAAAGTCTAAAATGAGTGACTGAAAGTACGAATACAGAAATACATTTTGTTGGGGGCAGAAATATTGATACTGAAATATATCTTTCCCAAAAATATAAAAGAAGCTTTTATACATCGCCACACTAGTTAAATGTAGCTTCTAGAATATGAAAAAGAACACAATCACGGTCTATACTATTAAACAAAGACACGAAGTTTTTCTTTATACATACAAACGAGCACTCGCTCTAAGGTGCAGCTTGGATTTTGACATTGACTTTCTCGAGTCCGAAGTAATTAACTTTTCCACAGAATTAACAACTTTTTAGCGTGGTGCTAAGAGAAACACGCGGGACTTCTGTAGATTAAAAAGCTTTTCATCCGGAATAGAGAGCGGTTCCTTCTTCGGTACCTTTTACAATTCTGAGAAAAAGTCGTATGGACCTTTTTGTCGGTTTCATGTCTTCTCAAAGCACATCGAGAGGTCGCCATCCACTAATCTAGTCCGGGCACCTTTTCCAGCAGATATTTCATGTAGCCACGATGTAGGAAACGGTTACACTGTGTTCCCAGTTTCGGGTTTATTATTTTGGACACATGCGTGTTTTGTCTGAACGCAATCTTACAGTTTTGACGCTCATACCGGCAGCGTACTCTGCCCTTCCGTATCTACAACAATAGTAAACCACCTAAAATATTCCGAAAAATAATTTGGAATAGAAACAGCAATCATGCTAAGTGAAATGTCAACATACAGTACTGAATCTCGTCGGCAGGTTAACAAAGCCTCCGCTTCCCCTTTACTGGACCCTTCACCCCTATCTAGAAAAATAGAAAATTAAATAATGTTTATCTTAGAGCAGAGGTCTACAAACCCTGGCCCGTGGGCCGATTCCGGCCGGCGGAAGTTCTCCGACAGGCCCGTTGCAAGCCGCAGTTTTTCCACTGAGGCCCGGCCTGTAACCCGCATCCAGCAGACCCCCGGCTAGCGGCGTAAAAAGAAGTGCGCTTAAAGACACGACAACGCGACGCGCTCTAAATGCGCAAACTATTCTACCAGAAAGAATAAGAGAAACTCGTTGATTGAAAAGTATTTCAATGCAGGAACACGCGAGGAAAGGTGTTTCGACGCAGAAATACGAATAACGTTGAGAAATTTGTACTGTCATACAGGAACACAAGTGTGAAATACATTTCTGAAATACTATCGCTTGAACATGATAGCCGGAAGTGTAACTGAATTGCTTGATTGGCTGATATTTACATTCTCCATAGTATAGGATTGCCTAGGTCCCACAAATTGTCCACCTATTTGTGATTGACATGACACATCTGCAAACAATTTCACATAGTTTCTGAAGGAAAATAATTTACCTAAAGTTTATAAAAAAGTTTAGATATAATTGCCTATAAAACATATTGAACTAACTAATAAAGTATGATTTTCGCTTGAAGTTAGCACGTCTACTACTGTGTAACATGACCATGCTTACTCCGCATTGTTAAAAAGATGATGAAAAACGTCGCGCTAAAAACAGGGTTTGAACATCTTGTACTTGCAAAAAAAGCTGACGAAGCGTAATGTATTGGTAATAGACAATTTTTATCCCAACTATATATTACTTCATGTGCAATGAAAGGAAAAAACAAACAAAAATTGTAATATTTTCAGGATAATGATTAACTAGGAATGATGCTAGGGAAATAACACATGCTTCCCTTAACTTCGGGAAACAAACAAACACAATACCGGGCGGAATTTGAAGGCCCTAGTCTAACTTTCTATGGAGGACTTCGTGAAAGAGGCTACAGTGGGGGACATTTGTTGGCATTTTCGAGGACAGGAGAAGAAAGCGCGCACTGCTTTAATCAGTACTCAAAATTGGAGAGGGCAGGCGTGTCCGCTCCTTGGACCGCAATGCTAAGATACGTTGTCCCCAAATATAGTAGTGTTCAAAACTGGACCTGTTGGTTGTGAATAATTATAAAACAAAGCGCGGAAGAAAAAAAATAAGAAGAAAACATGGACAAAATAAGTCACCTACGATGTTGTGAGTAAGCACTCGCCTGTATTTTTTTTCTTTTAGCCCTGTTTTTTTGCGGTGTTTTATAACGATAAAGAAATGAAAGACGTTTATAATCCCCCGTAACGCCGAATTAGAGCACAGCTCTTGAGGAGGAGGAGGGAAGGGTACTGAGGGGAGAGGGTGGAAATCCCCCACTACTAACATGGGTGTGGATCGACGTGTGCTTAACGGAAGTCGCAGAAAATCCACATCTTTGGTGAGAGCATGGTGTTTAAATTTGGCAGGAATTTAGCGGGGCAATCTTTTCCCCTAAGCGTAGCGGAGATTTGTTTTCCACTACATTTAGCGGGGAAATATTTCCCGCTAAATTTAGCGGTGAAATGTTTTCAGCTAAATTTAGGGGGAAATATTTCTGCTATATTTAGTGGGGAAATGTTTCCGCTAAATTTAGTGGAGACAGTTTTTCCGCTAGATTTAGCAGGGAATATTTTCCTGCTAAATTTAGCGAGGAAATTGTTTCCACTAGATTTAGTGGGGAAATTTTTTTCGTTAAGTTTCAGCAGATAATTTTTTCGCTAGATTTAGCGGGGAAAATTTTCCGCTAAATTAAGCGGGGAAATTAACGTCATCGTCATCGTCACTGATGGCGTGACACGTGACGTCATCATAGTGACGTCACTGGTGACGATGACGATGACGTCATCGTGATGACGGCCAAAAATGAAAGACCTTTACAATCCCCTGTAACGCCAAATCAGAGCACGGCTCTTGAGGAAGAGGAGGGAAGGTTACTGAAGGCAGGAGGTGGAAAGTCCCCTACTACTAACACGGGTGTGGATCGACGTGTGTTTAACGCAAGTGGCAGAAAATCCACACCTTTGTTGAGAGCATCGCGTGTAAATTTGGCGGACATTTAGTGGGTAAATGTTTTCCCCTTACTTTAGCGGGGATTTGTTTTCCACTACATTTAGCGGGGAAATATTTTCCGCTAAATTTTGCGGGGATTTTTCTGCTAGATTTAGCGGGAAAATTTTCTGTTAAATTTAGTGGAGAAAGTTTTCCCGCTAGAATTAGCAGGGAAATTTTTTTCGCTAGCGAGGAAATTGTTTTTGCTAGATTGAGTGGGGAAATTTTTTCCGCTAAATTAAGCGGGGACTTTAACGTCATCGTCATCGCCATCGTCACTGATAACGTGACACGTGACGTCATCATAGTGATGTCACTGGTGACGGTGACGATGACGTCATCGTTATGAGCATCCTCATTGTCATCGTCATCGCGCGGTTACGCCGATGGCGACGCCGACGCCGCTCAAGCCGGAAACGGGCGCCTAAGAGCTGCGCTCTAAAACTAATTTGAAGGAACAATTGCAAGTTCGAATTTACCGCGTTCTGAGCTACCCAGATTTTTTTTTGTTATGTAAATAGTAATTGTTCCGTGTTAGACGACGGTTCCTTACGACACAGGCTCCTCCTCGTCAAATGGCGACCAGGACCACGAACCTGTCTCCGCGGGCGCAACGAGTCCTCGGGGTCTACGATCAAGAGCCTCGATGCCCCTCTGCCCATCTCAGCTTACGCAGGAGCAGCAGCAGCCCCTTATGGTAAGTAGCCGTGCAAGCTTGAGCCTAATTGGGGAGCCTTATGCATGTAAGAACCAGGTGCATACGTTTACCTCAAAACCATCGTGCTGCGTTTTAATTCGCCATAACGCCATTCAGATTGATAACACGTGTTTTTATTGGCTTTGCACACTGACATATAATTCTGAGAGAAGATTGTGCTATAAGGGTCATTTGGTAAGTATGGTAAAAAAGCAAAGGGAACACAGTTTTCTTTTCTTAGATTTTACGTTATATCTTAACATAGTCTCCATTGAGGGCTACACACTTGGTCCAGCGAGCTTCGATCTTCTTACTTTGGTCAGAAAAATGGGATTTCTTAAACCCTGCAGAATATGCATTTACGGCGGCGATGACGTCCTCATACAATGAATATTTCGTCCCATCGTGCCACCTTTTTAAGTTTGGGAAGAAGTGAAATTTCCACAGGGCCATGTCCGGTGATTAGGGTGAATAGGGCCGTGTTGTGAAATAAATAAAAAAAAAGAGGAATGGGTTCCAAGCATATTTCGTGGAGTTTGGCCATTTCGATATGCGGGCTGGCACATTTTTCTGGTTAAAAATCACTTTTTGGTGCGCCATTTCGGACCGCTTTAGTTTTAATTATTGTTCCAGACGGTAGGATAATGTTGCATTATAGGCCCCTCTTATCTTTTTTAACACTTCTTCAAGAAGTGGACCAAAATGATTCCTTGGGTATCTCAAAACATAGTGGCCATCACCTCATCAGCCGACAAGACGGTCTTAGCCTTCCTAGATTCACTTTCACCAGTCGTTGTCCACTGTTTTCACCGCTACTTCGACTCAGGTGTGGAGTGGTGGATCCAAACTTTGTCCACGATCACGAATCAACGCAGAAAATCTCTTTCTCATTGCGATTCAACATCACCAAATACTGCACTGAAGTGCCCCCATGGGCACGTTTTTGGTCTACATGGTGCAGTTTCGGCACCCATCTCGCACACAAATTTTTCATGTGCAATATTTTGTGAAGGATATTCCACACTAGCTCAGTTGAGATGCCTAGTCTCAGCAATATCGCGCACTTTAAATTGACGGTCTTCCATGAAACTACCGTGAATTTGTTGATTGATTTCCGTCGTGGTAATCTCAACTCGGGGTCCAGAGCTCGATTCACCTTCAGGGAATGTTCGGCCACGTTGAAAGTCATTGATTCAGATATAAATCGGTCTTCAATCTTGGTTCAGAGCCACCAATAACTTCATTCAGTTCGGCTCTGATCTGCGCGGCCTTCCACTTTTTGAAGTAAAAATGTTTGATCACCGCTCGAAACTCGTATTTCTTTTTCCAGTTTTGTGGTAACTGACAAAGTGCTTGCTTGAAACATTAATTTAGTGGGAACCACGTATTGCGTTTTGTTGAAATTATGCCTCAACTAGTTTTGAAGAGCCACAGTCGCCAGCCGTATTATTATGGCAAGAATAGTGGCGCCATCTTATAGACATTGACCGAACTTATGAAACGAACCTACACCTCGGGCCCTAAACTCGTCAAACACAAAGTTGGTGCCAAAAGTTCGCGGAGTGCGCCGTTTGGACGCCGGCGACAACAGCGCAAAGTCATCATCGTGACAGTCCTAACTTTGTGTTTGACGAGTTTAGAGCCCCAGATCTTTGCATGCGACCACTCACTTGGTCGGGTGTAGTGAATTGATATTCATGCCTTCTTTTTTTTTTGCGGCTTCATTGTGGGAGATGCGTGAAGAACGGGCTTGTGATATCTGGATGGCTGGGTCCAGCAAAATCACGTAGCTCGATGCAAGCTCATAATCACACCAAAAGTGCTCCGAAACTCACAGCGCTCTCCTCAAACTCCCATAGTTCTGGTACTTTTTTTTTCGCGTTGTGGGCTTATTAACAAAACGGTGTGACCCAAGCTATTGGCTTTCTACTGCGGAGAGGCCGAGTAAGCTTGCTCACCGCGGATCAGAGCGCGTGAAGCAAGATCAATAGAGCTGCAGAGCTCAGGAATCCAGAGTTCCATCCTCGATCCTGTTAATTCTAAATGCCAAGGGTGTGCCATATTTATTTGCACTTTGTTTGTTTGCTGCGAATATCGGCCACTTAGAAGTTGGTAGATGTCCCACATTTTTATGTACTCACCCTGGAGCCGAATGTTCTTGCACCACCTGTGTGGCAGCTTATCTATGCTAGACTGGAAATTCACATGAAAATTAATTTTAGTTCAGCAACACAGTTCGCGCCACATGACGTCACGTGAGCTTTTTGCGTGAGGTGAAGTTCATTCGTGACCTGACGCCCATTACGTCAAGCCATATGACGCGATGGCATCAGGTGAAACCATTTCTTCACATCGCGACGTCATGTCACATTGTGTCAAATACTGAACGTGTTTTTTACTCCCTAAAAAACTCCTCAATATCGTCTAAAAAATTTGAACGATCGATCCTTCAATATGCCGGTCAGCGCCTGATAGAGCTGTGAAGATAAGGGTCCCTGCCACTTGTTTATTTCTTTAAGTAAGGAACCGGAAGACAACTGCTTCCTATTAAAGAAATGATAAAGAATGAATTCATGCGTAAAAATAACGTAACGAACCGGAAGACAGCTGCTTCCTATTAAAGAAATAATAAATAATGAATTCATGCGTCAAAATAACGTAACGAACCGGAAGACAACTGCTTCCTATTAAAGAAATAATAAAGAATGAATTCATGCGTCAAAATAACGTTTACTCAGAAAGCAAATTTTAATGATTCTCCAGAACATATTAGAAACAAAAATATATTTTATTTTATTCTTGTAGTAAGAAAAAAAGCTTAGAACACAATCAAGATTTCTGCGGACTACGGGAAGTAAAAAATATCTCATATATAATGCACTGGAAACTGCCACCTGATGACTGTCTTAAGTGAGCATTATAAGGTTGACTTGAGGGCTGTGCAGCGTGAACAGGTTGAGTCTTTAAAGGGAACCCTGCCGCACAAAAGTCTAAAGCACCTGAAGCGTCGACTTTCCAACTAAGCGATTATGAGAGCCAGTCACTGCGATCTGTGGAAAAGGCTCGTTGAATGGCGAGTCTAAAAAATGTCTCGACTGAAAAACAAAAAAACAATATTGGATCTGACACTGATAGTAATGGAGCCTCATGGCCAGCGTCACAGTGCAAACCGCTTCTTAGGTCTCAACCAAAATCAAAGAAGAGAGAGGTGTCTGAACGGTGCCGCCTCCCTCACCGCTCGCACTTCAGACAAATGCCGTGAGATGGTGTAACACCTCTGGGGTAGTAGGAAGCCGAGGAGTGCCACTCGGGGAATCGTCCCTATTCGCGCACAGGTTTACAAGACCCATACGTCTCGGGCGGCGCACGTGGCCTTGCTATGAAGGTTCCCAAGACTGCAGTGCTCCTGCCGGGAGATGCGCGAAGCCCGAGCAAATTTTTGCGGCCTTGGCTCTGCTTGTTTAGGCAACTCTCTCGCCTTTCCCCCGGGTCTATACGTACTTTCAGCCTGATCATTCGCCGAGCTCCCTCTGTGGATCGCTGCTGATTGCCTTCCCCAGGGGTGTGCAGAAACGCCAAAGTTTCGGAGTCCTGGGAGCGAATAAATGAACAATGACGACCGCTGCTGCCTCTTTCCGTTCGTCAGCAGTCTCCCGTGAAGCTGGAGGCAGAGTACGGCATCGCAGAGGTTCCCGTCCGGCTTGACCAGCGTCGGTCCACTCTGCCGAGGAGCCACAGACCCACCCGCTCCTGGAACCCCCCCACTCAAGGAATCGCCAGCTCCTTGCTGTAAGCGGCGCTTTATAATATATTCACTGACGTCTTTCAAAGCGCAAGGAGTGACTTTGGATTGGCACGCTTCGTGCCTTGTGGTTCTCTCTTCGCTGTTCTTATCAGCTGATACTGTAATCTAATTGACTGCGGATGCCTGGGGCTTGCCCGGGACTAGCCACGTCCCACGTCTCTAAAGCTGTCAGTGTCCATAGTAAACTTCACAATGATTGGTCGCATTTTATATTCTTTATGCCTGACAGAAAGCGAGCAGCGTTTATAAATCTCTAAAAGGATGTTACACTAGTTCCGAAATAGCCCGTACGAATCATTCTTCTGTCAACAAAACACATTCTAGATAGTAACACCCTAAGCATTTTGCAGCGCCTACTTTCAACGCAAAGCACTTGGCAGAGCCAATCACTGCCATCTGCCCTGGGGTATCGGCGATTGATCAAAGCTGATAAAATATTTACACCTAAAAAGAAAAAAAAAAAGTCTCCGCTGTAGCACTCGGCATGCTGAAACGTCATGCTCACTGGCTCGGCGTGTTCTGTTTCTTAAAGTCTAAACATACCGCAGAGCGCTCGCGGGAAAGTGGGCGCTCCAGATTTTTAGTGTCAGGGACGTAGAGCGATGAACTTTCTGCGTAACATACAAAAGGGAAACGTGAGGGCCAAGTCTGGAGACAAGTGCTGCATTAATAGTTCGGCTGCGACTCATGCAATCGTCGACCGCAGCACTCGCTGTCAAAAAACACCCGTGAATAAGAGTGAAAATCGTAGCTACCCATATAAACCCCGTTCGTTCTCAAGCCGTGCAAGCGCCCCAGCGTGGCTTAGTCTTTAGGGTATCTGGCTCGCATTCGAGGGGCCGTGGATTTGAATGCCGCCTCCGTGTAACATTCTTAAAATTTAGTTTTAAGTAAAATTAATTACTTTATAAAGTTAAATCATTTGAGACAGGTGGCAACCTTTAATTTAATTCGCATTGCATGTAATGATTTGATCACTTTTTTATCAGGCTTGACGTCGCTCTTCACGCAAGCCTTGTGGGTTGTTTGAAATCCTTGCGTGAGGACATGTGCCTGCGACGTCATGAACCGATCGACCAATCAGCATTTTCGTGGCTTTTCTGGGGTACGCCACCGGCTTTTCTGGCACGCCGCATTTTCTGGCACGCTGGATTTTCTGGCATCCCACCTAAGCCGGCGCGATATGAGCGCCCTAAAGGTGAAGTAGAAAATTCAGCACTAGCAGTTATGATCTTTTTATCCAGGAAAGGAGAAGGTTAAGCGCAACTGCATAAAGCAAGGGCGTAACTCAAACACAGATATGGCTTAAACCAAATCCGCCTATTCATTCAGTGGGACAATCACAGAGGCATTGCAAGGTAAAATCAAACTCGCACGCCATGAAAAGTTATACAGCCTGAGGGTGGCCTGTTTGAGTGTGCTGATACTGGTTCAACGCTGAAGAAAAGCAGCGTGGTCAGCGCAGTATATTTCTTACCTGGAACATTCACTACATACCTTGTTAATTGCTGCAGCGGTTTTCACGTTGCCTATTTATAATAAAAACTGAAAGTGTTCGACGGCAAAGGCAATAAAAAAATAAATAAATAAGGCTTCAATCTACGCTGTAAAGATGGTTGGGGAGGGAAGCTGTGGTATCACCTCCAACGATTGCCCGCGGAACTATAGACAAACTTTATGGCACACAGCACCATGCAGTGCTCCATTCTTTGACGTCCCAGAGAACTTTCGGTTCATGAAAAGAATGAAGAAAGGCCACCTTAGCACCGCTGCCTGAAATGTAAATAAAACGTTTAGCCACCAATTCTGCAGGTGAACGCCAAAATGACGAAGGAGTGCGAGATCTGTTAATATGTTTCGAGTATCCTTGTAAACCAACTTGCCTGCTCCAAGATGTTATATTGTTGAGCCGAAAACCCTCGTTAAAACTCCAACTTTGTTTTCCGTGGAGGATCTATGCTTTCTAGCACTGGTGACATAGGCAAGGTCAACAGGCTTGCAAAGACAGTGCAACCGGAAGTCGCTTGGGGCACAAGCGGCAGTATACTGCAAAAGGGTCTATAGCAGGGGTGGCCAAGCTGCGGCTCGCGAGCTGCATGCGGCTCTTCGCTTGTTAAAGTGCGGCTCGCGGCTCCCTCCCAAAACCACCCCCTTCCCCTGCCTTCCTCCCGGTCACACGAGCACTTCCCCCAAGGGAGAAATAGAACGCGTTTTAAATCGAAAGACAGGACAGGTTGCGGTTTGGTAGTCTTGTGCTACTGCTACCTTGCGTACAATTTAACTGCTTTAGAATTGGATAGACTGGAAGTGGTTCGAGTTTCGTTTATTGCTCTGGACATAAGTTTGCCCCCCCCCCCCCCCCCATCGTTCTTCGCGGCTCTTGGGAGTTTCGTGCTTTGGTTTGCGGCTCTTGGGCCGGGTCAACCTGGCCACCCCTGGTCTATACCATATGATTGAAAAAAAAGTAAATGCACTGTACCAGAAGTTTTTTTTTTATATATGAAAGTCTTCGTACGCTGCCTTTGCCGCGGCGGCTTATGCAACCGTAATCATTACTGAGAAATGCGTGCGAGAAGCGCTACGTGCCTCGCGTTCTTTGGAGGGCTAGTAACGTCAGTCCACACTTCGTATTCTGCCGTTTGCCGCTGCAGCCTATGCAACCGCAATTGTTACCGAGAAACGCACGCGCTGAGCGGTGCGTTTCTCGGACACTAGTTTTTGTTTTTATTGAAACAAGTGTCAAAACCACATAAGAGATAAGGCGAGCGCGAGCGGTGATAAGGCGGACGCTATAGCTTTCTGTCAACGGGCACCAAAACAAAAAGTCTTAAGATTCATGTATAGCTTCGCTGTCAAAACGCCGATTTCGTGTTCGGGCTGTGTTTCTCAGTATACATATATTATATTCTAGTTATGTCAACTAATGTATTACATGTTCACGTAACGCTCCAAAGGGTCGAAATGTTTAAACTGAAAAATCCGCCACTACATGTAAAACAAGCGAGTTAAGATCTATGAAAGAAACATATTCAGATCGACATATTTGAGATTTCCGAAGATTTGGACTCGCACTTCTGGCGAAACAAAGTCTAGCGCTCTACATTTTACATTCACTGATATGATGGAAACGGCAGGTTTTTTTTACCAAATGCCCGACCTCTACCACGCGCTCGTCGCCTTATACCGAGCAGTAGCTGCACGGGCACGCCCCAAGTTAACGAAACGTCCAAGTGTTATCGAAGAGGGAAAGCTCGCGCTAGAGGCGGGACAGCTGAGCGACCTCCCCTCCGAACTCGTCTTGTCACTGACAGATACAGCCCATCATTGTTCAAAGAATGCGGCCGACGATCCTCAAACGTGGCTGACCACAATTCAGGTTTTCGTCGTCCAAGTCCGGTGCCGGCCAGGCTCCTCAGCCGCAGAAGAAACGCAGCAGGGTCGAACGACTTCTCCGGAAGACGCTGCTCGCCGCCGTACTGGGCATCGTCCTGTGCTGCCTTCAGGGCTACGGCGTCGCAGGTCCGCACGGGATGTTCGCCGCTGCCCCCAGGGCCGCTGCCGTCCTGCCATGGTTCGCCTACCAGACTCTCCACAGGTATACAGAGCGGGTAGGCTCACTCCATTCAGGAGCGAGAGCACTACAGTCAATGTCAGCTTTGACAAGTACACGCTGATTACAAGCATGAACTTAGTAATCAGCGTGTACGTAGAGAAGGCCGTTTTACGTGGAGTTAATATTTTTACTGCCAGCATTAAATTTGAGGGCGAATTGCAAACACGCTTTTCAGAATGTTGGTTACTGTTTTAAAACTCGGTCCCTGTAGCTAACTCAAGCCGGCTTTGTATCCCGATTGCCTGTCCAACCGGAATTTTCAAAGAAATATGTGCATTTCACTGTTTCGTTTTGTACACCTCATATGCCCAATTTTTGAAGGTCTTGCTCAAGACGTTTAATTCATCTGTCAAACAATGCACATTGATGCAAGTGTGAATATTTATTTATTTATTTTATTTATTTAAATACCTTAAGAACCCTGGAGTTAGGGTATTACATAAGGGAGTGGGGTTATAGGAGATGTGATGATAACAATTCGCGGAATGAGCCGATGTCTTGGGTGGAGACGATGATTTCAGGCAGGCCGTTCCAGTCCACAGATGTCGCCGGGAAAAAAGATTTAAAGAATGCTGTGTTTCGGGTAAAGAGAAGGCCAACTTTTGCAGGGTGATCAACACGAGGAGATATGCGATGAGGTGGCAAGATGAATGAGCTATGTAGCTGGTCATCGTAATAAAACCTGTGAAAAAGACATAGTTTAGCAATACGCCTGCGTGAACATAAAGGAGTCAAAGATAAGTTTTGTTTAAGTTCAGTTACGCTGACAAACCTGGAGTACTGAGACGTTATAAAGCGAGCTGCACGGTTCTGAAGTGATTCTATGTCCGATGTAAGGAATTTAAGATGAGGGTCCCAGACTGATGATGCATATTCTAACTTTGGGCGTACTAATGTGACGTATGCGAGGCGTTTGACAGATGAGGACGCGAGACGAAGATTGCGGCGTAAAAAACCAAGAGTGCGGTTTGAATCGGAAATGATGTTGTTAATATGAGTCTTCCAGGAGAGGTCGTGAGTGAACGCCAAGATATTTGTAAGTTGAGACGGCATCAACATTGAGGTTACCAATAGAGTAAAAAGCTTGAAGGTGTTGACGGGTTCGAAAAAAAGAGAGGGATTTAGATTTGGAAGCATTTAAGAGCATTTGCCACTTTGAACACCATTCATTAATTCGGTCAAGATCAGTCTGCAGATTAAGTGAATCATTTGTGTTAGCTATGGGCCTGTAGATTACGCAGTCATCGGCAAACAGGCGGACCGTAGAGGACAGCGAAAGGGGGAGATCATTAATATATACAAGAAAAAGCAGGGGTCCAAGAACAGATCCTTGCGGTATGCCAGAGGTTACAGGAGCGCTTCGGGAACGGCAGTTGTTGATGTGCACATGCTGGGTTCGGTAAGAGAGAAAATTTTCAATCCATGCTAGAACGGAAGAATCAAGGGAAAGTGCGGACAGTTTTGTTAGTAGGAGTTTATGGGAAACACGATCAAAAGCTTTGGAAAAATCGAGAAAGATAGCATCAACCTGAGGAGAGGTTTCTAGGGAAATATGAATGTCATGGCTGAAAGCGGCAAGCTGTGTTTCACAAGAACGATGTTTTCTAAAGCCATGTTGATTAGGAAAAAAGAAATTGTTTTGTTCTAGAAAATGTATAACTTGGGAACGAATGACATGTTCCATGAGTTTACAACAAACAGAAGTTAATGATATGGGTCGATAATTTAGAGGGGAGTGCGCATCGCCGCCTTTGTGGACCGGAACGACCTTACCTTCCCTCCAGTCGTCAGGAATAGCACCAGTATCTATGGACTGTTGAAACAGAAAGGTTAGAAAAACAGTTGACAGTGGTTTAGTAATCTTTAGTATTTTACTGTTTATGTCGTCAGCCCCTGGTGACGATGAGATCTTAAGTGCATCTATCAACTTGCTAATGCCGTTTTCCGTGAAAGTAATTGGATGCATTCGTGGGAACGACATGGTTACATTATCTGGCAAAGATGTGATGACGCTACTGTTAAACACAGCGGAGAATGCATCGCAAAACTTTTCAACAGCATCATCATCAGAGAGATTAGTTCCGTTGTCATTTACCAATGAAACCGGTTTACGATAGTGGGGGTTTATTATCTTCCAAAATTTCTGAGGGTTACTTTTGAGAATAGCGGCAAGATCGCTCTGATAAAATTGTGTTTTAGCTTTCGCGACAGTCGACTTGTACAGTGCGAAAGCATCTGAGAAACAAGACCAAGCCTGATCTGTGTCTAGACGTCGGGCACGTCGGTACAATCTCTTTTTCCGGTTACAGAGCGTTTTAAGCTCTCGGGTGTACCAAGGGGCTGACTCGTTCTCTCGAAACTGTATTAGTGGTATATGACGGTCAATTAAACAAAGTAACGTTTCTTTAAAAAGCATCCAATTATCTTGTACAGAACGATCAAAAAAGTTGGGCATACATGACTCCATAAAAGTTGGGCATACATGACTCCATATGCTGATACGTTTATTAGTTAGCACATGGGAAAAGTGAGGCATGCCCAATAGACCATTTGCTAAATCCCCCAGGTGCCCCGGCCAGCATTTGAGGAACCATAAGACCGGTGTTCCTTCAGTTCCTTACTGATCGGTAATTTTGACAGATTCGATGCTTACACGTTTGAGTGTAATGCGTAGTCATCCTTAATAAGCGTGGTGTAGATTGCAGAGACCTGTCATATCACTTTAGGAATTTCTCTTCAATGTTAGCGTTTTTCACTCTGTGCATGCAATCCAAACTTCAGCCTGGCTGAGCCGGAGAAATATCTTACAACATTATCATTCTCGTGGTTGTTGTTTTAGCAGGAATTCTTTAGAAAGCCGAGAATTCACAACCAAAACCAATTTTCGCTCGGAGTCAGGGGGGGCTTCTTATAGCATTTGTAGCGTTGCTAAGTTAATATCAGATTATTTTATGCTCTACGAAAATGGTAATATTGTGAGAGATTTCTGCAGTCCAGAGAGGTTGAAGGGTGAATTGCATGCCGTACCAAAAACGCTGACATTGAAGAAAAATATTGAAAGTGATGTGACAGGTCCCTGCAATCTATAGGAAGTATTCACTGGACGCCATATTTGGGGGTGCTGTTTAGAGCGCATGCTCAGAGCGAGCTCCCATTACTAGGCTGCTAAGACCGGCACTCTCGATGGTGCGGAATGCACGTCGCAAAATAGCTGTGGACTCTCGCCATCAGCACGCGCTCAGAATTTGCGCACACAGCTATGGCCGCCAGTGAATACTCCCTGTACGACACTTACTCAGGGTGGTTTCAAGTTACACTAAGAAGTGGGTAAGCATCTGATAGACCCCTCTCCCTAAGCGTTCACGCATGCGCAAGGCCGCCATAATTGCACATTAAAAGAGGTGGGCGCCCGTGCACGAGACAGCTCGTGTCGTCTCGTGCTTTGCTCGCGGAGACCTCCAGCGGGGTTGCCGCGCGCGCAGAAAAACCACAGATCTTAGAACGCATGGTGACAGTGGTCGTGTACTCGAACTAGCTGTTCAGATCGATCTATTGCTTGAAATTACCAATCACTAGGGAACTGAAGGAACACCGTATACATGGTTCCTTGAGTGCGGGCCGGGGTTCTTGGGGAATTTAACAAGTGGTCTATTTTGAATGCACTGCAATGCCCCACACGGTAGGGGATTCATAATATATCCCACAGTTTCAGGTGAGTAAAGAAATGATTTAAGATTCCACATCGTTCGGGGCATGATGGAATAAATCCCGAACGGGATAACGTTCCCTGCGGTGCCTCAACTGGGCTGCCTACGTGAGTCCACTGGGGTTCCCATGAAGGAAGCCTTTGTGAACTGCCCACCTAGCTTCCTTGTCGGCCCCACGAGACGGGTCCATGAGGGCTGCTCATCTAGGCCTCCCGTGGGCCCCGCGATGAGGGCCCTCGTGGGCTGCCCAAGTAACACCATTGTGGGTCCCACGGAGGGAGCACCTATGTGCTGCCCAAGTTTGCCCCCTGTGGGTCCCTCGGGGCAGCCCAGGTGGGCTGTAAAAATGGGCTCCACTTGGGTCCGACTTGCAAAACCGACGTGGGACTCACGTGGGCTTACAAGTGAGTGTGGCCCACATCGGCTTCCCTATATATAGCAATATCTTTTCTGCTAGGCTGTCAATATGTTTCATTCAAAACATATTTTCAGACTTATCATTCTCTTTCGTAGGTTCTGCGATTAGCTCTTCAAAGTGCTAGATAAGTAGACGTACTGGATTTCTTATAGTGTTGTTACCATACCGCGAATAAGTGTTCCTAAGTGCGTTTTTGTCACATCGGAGCGCAATGAGCGACACACTAATCAAGGAGCTACATAAAGTACGCTCTGGGAACGGGCGATATCGACGCAGTCTCGGTATATCGCTGGAGGAGACAAATACACGTCGGCATAATTGGCGGGTAAACATGTAGAATAGACGCGCAAGAAGCGGCCTTATTTCGCAGGCCATATAGAAAAGAAAACCAGCTATGGATATTCGGAATCGAGGGCCGTATACGATACTAGTACCCGAAGTGGGCAAGACGAAATTAATGGGGATTGGCATGAGCTGTGCAGTGAAGCGTAAAGACTTTTTCGTGTCAAAATTATGCCAAGTTCTCGTTATACTGTGATCAGGTGCTCATTACACTATAATGTTTTTATTGTATATTTATGCTAAGAATTCCTGAACGGGCCTGAATTTATTACGAATGACCGTGTGTGAACACTTGCACATAAACAAACGTATAGAATACCAGCAAATTAATAATTATTCAACAGGCGCAAACGTGCGCACAAAGACAAATTTATTTCCTCTAATGCGCCGCGCATCTGCTACAGACATTTACGATGTTGGGAGCTGCCTCGGAACGACGCAATTCAACTGAGATCGTTGAACTTTCTTTGTCGAGGATGGATGATCTAAGGACTTTCTAAACGTCATCAAGTAGCATTAAGAGTGCTCTTTGAAATGTTAGTCTGAGCAGTTCATTGTACTGGCATGCTTGAATGTCAGCGGTTTAACAACGAAATATAAAGGTTCAACATGAGGGTCTGTTGGAAGAATTACCTGTGAGCAGAACTCTTTCTAACACTGATTACTAACGTTAACTAAGAAGCATTGATACCATGTACCGTAAAATCGACAAAATAGAGAATAGCCCCAAAATAATTTATGCCGTTGTGTGACTTCCCTGAAATCTTATGGACACGGTAATGGTATTTCCAAGGCTTTATGTAAAAAAAAAGAGAAGCTTAGCCCTACACTTAAGCATCTCTAAAATGACTAATTTGAACGGCATCTTTAAGAACACGACCTTCGCCAGAATAATTCTTTCGAACTTGCAGCTAAAGAAACAGTAAGTAAATGGGGGGGGGGGGGGGGGAACTGAATAATGTTACACATATCCATAAGAAAAAAACGAAAAACAGGAGACGACAGACGAAGGGAACAAACACATTAAGTGTTGTTGAGACGTCACGTGTTCGTCCCCTTTTTGGTTCGTCGTTTCCGGTTTGTTCAAAATTGTAGCTATACACCGTTTTACCTGAAGTCCGACCGCGCTCTTGGATCTGAGGAAGCAAATAAAGCGGCGTCAGATGTGCAAGGTAATTACGCTCATCGCCCCTGTGCGTTTGTCATTCCCGGCTAAACCAATTCGTGATTGGTTTAACTGGTGATAAACAACTCACGAAGACAACTAGCGCCGTGACGATGCACTCATTGGGCTGCAGGACTGGCCCCGACGGATTGCGGCGTCGGATGGCTGTCAGGCCTAAGGTGGAAGGAAGTAAACTCTGCTAAAAGGGTGTATAAACTCTTACACCGTTCTGTTTCATATAATACACTCCATAACTTCAGCTTGAAGTGCAGCGCGCTGACGTCGAACAGACGGCCCCAACGTTTACGGGGGGCTTGATAACGGTACGATATAACTTATTAAACAACTAAAGCACGGATAAAAAAATACAGAAAATAAAAATACTAAAGTTTTGCAGTAAAGCCGAGACAAACCCGTTTTTTTTTTTCTTGTATTCAGTAACACGGATTTTTGGCTCTTTTAGTAAGTCTTATACAATCTTGTGCGCCACAAAGACGAGGACAAAAGCAGAGAAGAGGACACAACAAGGCACAACTTTCAACTGAATTTTATTGAAAACGTGTTCCCGTGTATATAGTCCCAACCATCGTTACAATGACAACAAAAAGACAAAAGTAAAGGAAAAACACCATGACAGAGCATAACTGGGAAACAACACTATCTCGTTTTCAGGAAAAACAATTCCTTCTCCGATAATGCAATCGACGGCATAGCAACACACGTGTCTCCTAAATAATCAATGCGCTCTGCTTCTATGATTTCGCGTGTTACCGCAGACTTGCATTTCCCAATTTTTACGCATTCATCCAACAGTGGGGTACAACCCCATGTCCTGCAATGCAAGTCAAGAAAGCCACCGTTCTTTTTTTGCACGTTGTTATTGTGCTAGCGAAGCCGATCATTTAGGCAGCGCCCCGTCTGCCCGATGTAGTGCCTGCCACAGGACAACGGAATGCGATAAACCACGCCATCTGTACAGTCGACAAATTTCGTTCTGTGCTTCTTTTCCCATCCGTGTTTGGCACGCACGTCAGGCTTTGATAGTTTGCACAGGTCCATGAGCTTATTGGGCGCAGAAAACACTACCTTTACATTTGATCGCATTGCTACTTTCTTTAAATTGTGCGACACTCGGTGTATATACGGAATCACAACAACTTTTTCTTTTTGTCTTACCGGCTGGCTCCCATTGTTTTCCACGAGAAAGCGCTTTCTTAGAAGGCCTTCCGCGACCGCAACAAGAATGTGTTTAGGATACCCAGCTGCGAGCAAGCGCAAAACTTGCTGATTAAAACCCTTGGGGATCAAATGCTCACAGGACTTTTTTTAGTGCACTGGTGAAACACAGGTTAACAATACTCCTTTTGACTAGCTTGGAGTGGGCTGAATGAAAGGGAAGTAACGGCTTATTCGCACGTGGCTCATAGCACCAACAGATGTGGTCGTTGAGAAATAAAAATCTGATGTCAAGGAAGCGAATAGTGTTGTCCACAGGTATCTCATGCGTGACCTCGAGTGGCCAGAACATTCCTTAAAAGTGGTCAGGGTTTTGACAGCCTCTGCTTCAAAAGCGTTTGTATCAGATACGATGGAAATTAAAAAATTATCTACGTACCTACATCGGTTCGACGCATTATCGGAGAAGGAATTGTTTTTCCTGAGAACGAGATAGTGTTGTTTCCCAGTTATGCTCCGTCAGGGTGTTTTTCCTTTACTTTTCTGTTTTTTGTTGTCATTGTAACGATGGTTGAGACTATATATACGGGAACACGTTTTCAATAAAATTCAGTTGAAAGTTGCGCCTCGTTGTGTCCTCTTCTCTGCTTTTGTGCTCGTCTTTGTTGCGCACAAGATTGCATAAGTTGACAAACCAACTCGCCCAAACAACCACTCTTCTGTAGTAAGTCGTTCCGCTCGGCCATGAATCCGCTCGTGAAAGTTGCTACCATCGGTTCGACGTCTGCGCTCCGTACGCATAACTGAAGTTTTGAGATGTCTCATGTGGGACAAGGGGTGTAAAGGCATACCTTTTTTTTCTGAGTGTGTAGAGAAAGCTGTCGTCTTAAAGCGACGGAGTTAATTAAATAAATACGTCTCAAAATGAATTTAACCAGTCTCATAATATCTGGTTGCGGTTAAACGCTCTACGCGATGTGAAAAAGTCGGTATAGTTTAGTACACTTAAAATCCGATGCAATAAATCTGTCAATCAATCAATCAGTCAAACAATACCAATGAATACTGTTTTATTTGCACATATGGGGGAAGGAGTACACGCCTAACTCCTCTTTTTTTCTAATGTCGACCTTTTTCTCGCAATTTATTTGTGATTATATTTCATAATCTAGTATTTACTCTTACGACTTCTTCACACTGGTAAACGCTAAAGTGGTGATTGTTTTGTAACCATTTATCAACTTTTACAGTGCGTTCTCCAGGATTAGGCAGGCTCTTGTTATTCTTGTGTAATCACTAACACCCCTATCAAGCAGTCTATGAGAACAGAACTGCAGTATCAGTAGCTTGTAAGTTGACTTAAGGCTGAACTCCATGGGACGAATACGCTGCGAAAAATCGACGAATATGCCCGGCGGCTTTCGCTCTGCGCGTGGAATCAGCAGAGTGGCTGCTACGTCGCGCGCAAAGCGAGCGTGCCGTCGGGCGTAGTTCGTCAGTCATTCGTCGCATAATTCGCTCCATGGAGTTCGGCCTTTATAATGTAAACAAAAACAAGCAGATACAATGATTCAGCTTTGGAGCACTATTTACGGCACACACCGTTTCTGGTGTTTATTGATATCTGACTTGTGGTATTTCGGAGAAGGCGCCGTGTAATAGAGATTTCGGTTGCACGTCAAAAGATTCCCAGGTGGTAGAAAGTAATCCTCAGTCCTCCGCTAGGGCGTGCCAGCTGCCCGTCGTTGGTTTGGCACGTAAAATCCCCAAATTTTATGTTTTCTGACTTGTGGTATTTTCTGTGACGTTAATACCAGCTTCCGAACAGGTTTGTATAAAATCCGCCGAAGTGTATACGATGTACGTTATTTAAAATAAGAAAATCACTGGCGGCCGCGATATTTACAGCATCGCTTCCTGCGTAAATTCAAGTTTCTTCCGAGCAATGACGTACCGCTCGTCTCCAATGCGTGTTCAAAGGGCATGCCAAAAACTATGGTAGCTTCGAAGCCGCTACTTGAGGACGCGCACTTTGTTAAAGGGCAAGATATAATCTTCAAGATGTAAACTTCAAAAATAATTAGAAATATAATCTAAAAGCAAGATGTTTGAAGAAATGCTTAGTTTAACCAAGCTATTAAAACGAAATGCAAAGCGTAAACAAAAACTGCGGCTGATGAATTTGAAACTCACTTAACAGAATGTCATAATTACTCGAAAAGTTTTATGCACAGACAAGCGTCATATCTTAAGTTTATCTCGTAGGTGGCTGGAATTCACCATGGCCTGTATCATGGCCAGCATCACCAGGAAGTCTCTATACGGCAACTGCTACCGGCAACACAGCTGCAACGAAAAGTACAGGGGATCCCTTTTCTCCTGAGCCAACGTCTCATACGGACTATTGCGTCCACCGACACGCCTCGTCGTAGAGTCGGGTGCCTCCAAAGAGCAGTACAAGGCAGCTTCAGACACTGCTGCGTTTGCGGCATGCTCTGTTCTCAACCGATGTGGTTGACGTAAGGTCGCACAAGGCAGAGAGGGGACACTGCGCACACAGAACGTTCTTGCGTAAGACTGACACTAGATGAACGTCTAGGGCTGTCAGATGGAAAGACAGCATCTCGGATCATTGCTATTTTTGTGCGTGTTACCCAGACGTGTGATGCGTGTCATATTGTACAAAAAACGCAATATGACAAACAATTTAGGGCATTCGTGTCAACGCTGAGCCGACGCACTCATCCTTTTATATCGGGCAATCAAACTTCAGTCATTTCATTTATAGTGTTCTTATTAAATTTGTGTGGTGCAAGCACTCGTACCAAAAAAAGAAGATTGTAAATACTAATACTCGTTGTAAGGACGTTTGCTGTCCTGGAAAGCAGGCAAACCAGAGACCATTCTGAGAGTGTGGTAGAGTGGTCCAAGTGTGGCATGCGTTAAATTCGTCCGAACGCTTAGTGTTTTTTTTATATGCTGACTCGCATTTAAGGTTCTTCGTGTGTACACGAGTCTGTCGCCAAGTAATGTTTCAGTTCGCAACAGATGTCGCCGAAGAAACCACGGTCAGCACACACATCTCTGAGAAACTTTGCCAAAGTACATGTGTCTGCCTGTGTGTGTTGTCAAGGAAAAGCTCTGAAACAAAGAGCGTTGCATATTGCTGCGCGACTTTCTTAGTGCGTTTATAATGCCCTCTCACGGCTGTTAATGCTACTGCTTTATTTATCTTACATACCCCGGCCTGAGAAAGGGACAATGTGACTGAATATTGATGACTCTATTAATGGTTAATGATTTGATTTTATAACATTAAGCAGTGGAAGTATTGACTATGTCAAACAGCTAACGCTTGAGCAGTTTGCACCTACCTGACTATCATATTTTACAAGCAGTGTGGCCTAAAATAACTTAAAAATAAAACAAAAGTGCCGATTTTAGACTATTGTATATTAAAAAGGGTAACCAGCAATGGTGGACAGCAAATTGTGAACCAATGTTTCCATTTGCATATCGACAGCTGGAGTCATAATTGTCGACCTTGTCCTCTTCTTGGGCGGTAGGGTTTAGTATTGGCGTCGTTCAGACGTCCATTAGTTTTTAACTTGGTCTACATTGTCGTGTTTCGACTAGCATATTCTTATGGGCGTTATCTATACGATCCTTAAGTCTCCGCCCCTGATATCGGAATGCTGAGTCCAATATTAATAGCGACGCGCGCAGCATTACTAAATAGTATACATAGACGTCTGTGAAAGTTTATATTATTTATTTGTGATAATAAGAATGATTGGTGTACTAAGAATTCAAAACATTTTATATGTCTAGGAACAACACGGCTACGAATTTGAGTGAATAAGCACTCACGTGCTTTTTGCTAATAGAGGTGAACTGCCGAAGACCTTGGGTTATATGTTAACATTAAAACCGGATGAAAATTCTGGAAAATCGTTGAGTCAACCTTTGACGAACTAAGCTTAATAATGTAAGATGTTGCGGGAATATTTTCTATAATTTTGTAACACATGGCAACCTGTTTGTAAATATTGAAAAAAAAACTGCCAATTATTTTGATTAGTCTGTAAAAACAATCTTACAGGTTGCTTACTATTTAGGTATATTACGGAAATAGTGAAGTTGTGCCTCGTCTTATGTGAAAACAATATATATGATAATGGTTATATGGGGGAAAGTCTATGGCGGCCCACGAGAACAAATATCGACACATTTTAGTCCTGTTCTTCTCTATACAAAAATACTTGCATTATAAATAGTATGCATGCGAATTTAGAAAGTGCAATCTATAAGTTTTGCTGCTTTGATATATTCTGTGCTCATTATTGCATAGCACCATAGATGTGTTTCAAGGAATAATGTTGAATCCGTTGTGAAATGTTAGTGCATCTCCTTGCACCGTTGTATCTCACGTGACCACTTTCCACCAGCCGTGAATTTCATGCTTGCACGTCCACACATCGCGCTTGAAGTTGAAGTGTCTTGCTCCTTGTTCTTTTCCTGCGAGAGGTCATAGTACACACACTCACACACACACACAAAACGTTTTTTGTTGTCGTGTAGCCTCCCCTCCAAAGTGTTCGAATGCTCGAAAACGACATTCCAAAAGAAAAATCAAAGAACTGTGATATGCCTCGCATTTTCTCCGATCCTCATAACACACTTCCCACGCACCTCAATCGCAAACAAAGTGTCACTAATACTGCAGCACCAGCAAGCCTGACTCCAGGTAAAAAGAAGATGTCTTGTTGGTTGTACGAAGGACTTGCGATATTTGCAACCCAGCTTCAAACAGTGTTGTGCTCGAGGTGTTGAGTTGTCTTCAAAATTTAAATATAAACTTGTCAGCCACAGATAACTCGGAATTTTTTAGTACCCTCATGAATTTTGTTTCTACTTTTACGATATGAGTGAACAAAAAATTTTGGGCTACGCTTTAGAAATGGTTCCTTATAAACATTATACATGATGCTCTAATGTCTAATGCCTATCGCGTGCCATTATTACCTCAAGTGAAATTAGGAATATACAGTTGTAATTTTTTTTTAAAATGAGGCACAATTCATCACCAACATTGATGAACGTATCTGTTAAAATAAAAATGCTTGCATCTATCCAAGGTCCCGTAGTCCCGTTGGCATTTTGAAGCGTGTAAAATGTTATGGCTGAAGTCACATCTCTAGGTTACACTCATATTTAATTGTTTAACACGACGCATTTGTCAAGGTCGCATGGTCTTACATTGAGTGATGTTCCGCCACAATATCTGCTTGTTTGTAAAAGTGGCGGTTAGAAAAACACATTTCCACACACATACATTAAGAATCCAGAATGTGGCCAGCACTGAAAGACCAAACTTTAGTCGGAAGGCTAACAAACGGGCATGTATACGCCATACTATGTTGTTCTTGAGCTGGTGGCAAGAGTACGTTGTTACATCGTCGTGAGATGCAATACATTGTATGTTATTGCAGCTCGTGACTTTTCAAAACGCAGGTAACAAGCGAATGATGGCAGTGCACGTGGTTCCGACTTCTAATATTCATAGCACCGTGCCTTTCCTTCTATGAGTTTCTCTGGTATGAGATCCTGTCATACCGCTTTTGTTTGAAAGTATCGAACTAGGATCTATTTGGGTACTTGTGCACACAAGCAGTTACAGCCTACCAAGAAACCCAGACGCTAGTGGGCGTACAATCTGAAAAAACAGTCTGTTGCCCGGAATTTACTGGCGGATAAGTTATAGTAAAGTTAGCGTGCATTTTGAGTTTAAAAACATCACGGCCCGACCTCAAACAGTGGGGGAATAGAATTGAGTTCAGCCAATCTATTCATGACATTCCATCTACAGCGTTAGCAACTATGAATAGAAAACAGGTGCAATCTGTAGGATGTTTACTTCTTTCGTGTCCACAGAAGAATCAGAGAACCACTAACCTGCCATTTGCAACCGTTGCAGAGATTTGTCTCGCATGCAAGATATCTTTTGAGTGCCAAACATTGTTGTAAGTTCGTTTGTTGATGTGTCATTGACAGATATAGTAAATAAATATAATATATTGAGGTTATAAGTGAATCTTGTTGTATTCTTCCTCCTGACATGGTAACTGCATATATTGCCTGAAAGGGTTTATAAATGCCCGAAATGACTGGGAAGTGTTTATTTTTTCCTCAGTACCGAAGATATGTCAAATCCTAGCAACCTTTAGGGAACATGAGCCCAATATTACACAGGCATCCTGGCCAGATGACGGTCGATTTAAACAACAAAAATGAGATTGTCAGAATGTCACCAGAGTGCCAATTTCCTCTTCCTTCTTGATGCCTGAAGTGAACTTCAGAAAACTGAATGGTTCCATGCATCTCGAAGAAACTCTATACATCGACAGCTTGATTTTAGATAGAACTGACACGAGTGCAGCAAACGGCGTCTATATGCGGGGCGCAGTTAAGCAGAAGATAAAAAGGTAAATGATTGGATAAAATATATGCGTCAACTGTACAGTTTCGAAAAGGTAATGCACAAATAGAAAATTAATAATTTAGTATTTTTCAGCTAACTTGAGGCTTAGTTGGGTGAGAATATGTATTTTGTTGCAAAAATATTTGAATGCATAACGAATTAGAATAAACACACACAATTGCAATCTGACGTTTGTATTTCTAAAATGTATATGATACTCGCATAGTTTTAAATCATAATTTTCAGTTGCAGGACGTCCTGGCACTATAGTAAGGTCCTGATACTCACCAGAAACCACTTGTCTCGGTGACTGTTTAAGTAAGTTATTTGGTCAATCGTATAACTATGGCATACAACCTGACTTCGGTAATTTGCGAAGCCATTTAATCATACAATTATTTTACCTTTAAGGGCCCCATCAGGGGCATTACATAAGAGGGGCTACAGGAAAAAACACAAAGCAGTGACCACACAAGGGAACATGATATTGATTACGCATTTATTATAGATAACAGCGCATTTAAAAAAAAAAAAATTGGGGTTACGTGTGTGTACTTTGTGGTCCGGCGGGTTATTCTGTGCTGTTATCAGGAGAAGAAACGAGGCGCTATAAGTGTCAGTGGAACGACCGCAGGGAACGTATACAAACGAAATTAAAATATTGTTGGGATGAAGGGAAAGGCTATAGCAGCACAGACTGTCTCAGTTGAGGGTGGTGGTAAAATATTTTACGGAAGTGTCAAAGGGGAAATATTCTGCGGCGACTACTGAGGCGGGACACTACCTGGGAATGTCAGCTTTTGAACCGCTCACTGGATCGGCGAGATATGTGCAGGTGGTGTTAATAGCCACGTAGAAGGAGCGCATGCAAAGTTTCAGCACCGTGAACCAAATTTATTAGTACTATACCCCCAGATCGACGTAAAGCACAGCTCTGCATGGAATCTGCTCAATGAACTATCGTTGAGAAATTGTGTGGAATTTTTCAAAATTGACTTTTTTGGCAGTTTTCTTTTTCTGGGCAATGTCCCCCCTCAAGAGGAGGACTGCATAAAGATGTTCTAATAGCTGATACACTAGCAGTACGCTCATATGTAATTTGAATCTGACAGTTCTTATTTGAATGGTTTTTAAGGTGGTATAGAGCCCCATTAACGTCACAGCTTCCCAACTTCTGCAATCATGCTTTTGAGGTTTTGTAGTTAGTACTTTAATTGGCGTAATCTCCTTAATAATACAAAAGTTTTCGTTATGTCGTCAGTTCGACTCTGCTCACTTTTCTTTCCACATGAAGGTATTCCTGAAAAACTTCAACGACCCCCTAGTGACAAAAAGTTGTACCGACGTGTGTGCTAATGACGTCACTGTCGTTCAAAAAATGCCTTGGTGTAAAGAATGATTTATCGTGTCGTAGGGTATTCATGTAATACTGACAGCAAAAACAAAATCATACGCACAAGCGACTATATAAGAAAACTAGGCTCTGTAGATGCGGCTACAGCAATCTGTTATTAACATCTTGGCTATAAATATCTTTTTAGAAACATATCGGAACGTGCAATATTATCTTTAAGCTCTCGCACATTCTGCAACTTCCTTTCAGGTTAACGCACCAAAAATAACACACCTACAAAGTAATAAGTATACCTGTATACTCCGGAAGTTGAAACATCACTCCATTATTCCGTTGACGGTGCTCAGGAGACACAGGGGGTCGTACGTTATATCAGTTTAAAATACCTGACGCTTAATGAGCAAGTGTCACGCGTTTTTAAGGCACCGTCTGAAGTAGTCCTTATACCGGTGGGATACTATAAGCTCGTTTGAAAATCAAGTCTATGTTTTTTGCTCATGACTTTAACTTAAGCGTAAATGTGTGCACATAGAGGGGGATCGCGCAGCGCTATTGCCTGACTGGTGATATAGAAAGAATGCCCGTCTTTGGACCCAGAATGGTTTGTAGATGCTTGCGGCCCGTTACGAGGATAAAGCGTCTATAGACGTAGTAGTGAAACTCTTCACTTCAGAAACCCAGGCCAGGGCATCGTTTTCTACTTGGCTGTAGCTTTATTTTGTTCAAGTCAAAGGTTTTGAAGCTTAAGCAATTGCGAGACACGGATCATTTGAGGCAACGTTGGAGAGCACTGCGCCGATTCCATACGCCGAAGAATCGGCGGACAGCTGCGACGATGCACTCGGATCCTAATTGCTCTAAAAGGAGTCTGTCCACTTCCTGGAAGGCAGCTTCACACTGGTCGCTTTATGTCCAGCGGACGTCTTTGCGAAGGAGCCTCCTTAGGGACGACACCAAACTGGAGAGATCAGGAATGAACTTTCCGTAATAATTCACTCAACAGCCACCAGAGCTCTAGCCTTTCAGCTGGCCTTGGTGCTTTTAAGATAGCTTCTAACTTGTGAGTGGCTGGTTGAACGCCCTTGGCACTTACTATGCGACCCAGATAAATTTCCTCAATAAAGTCCCCCAAAATGTCACTGAAAGCGATGCCCGCAGAAGAAATATTCCCGGAAAAATAAAAGCCTCGGTAAAAAATGGACCCGGACAAAATGGTCCAAGTTGCAAGTAGGAAAAACAATTGTCGCCAAGGGAAATAAAAATAAGACATGCATAACCCATCTGAAATGGAATATATAAACCTTTCAAACTTTCACCAATGCAGCTATCACATTCCGGTTTTAATTGCCGTAATATTTTTTTTTCTGCCGTAAAAAAGGAAATTTACGTTGGCTGGAAGCCTGGAATTTAAGGTCTTGAAGCATTGCCGGTCTCAGCATTGAGCCATCCATCATCGTCGAATGCCATCTACGCTTTACGCTCAGAGAAGTCGACCGGAAATATAAAGATGGTCCAGGACTAACTCGGCGCTCCTCAGAAGAAAATGAGCAATTCGACGCTCGTTGAAATGCAATGCTGACTTAAGAACCTCTGTGAGGACTATTCCGCTGGGACATATTGAATGGGTTAAAACAGCGCAGAAAGACGAAGGACCAGTAAAAGAAACCACACAGACACAGCGCTGACTTACAACTGAAATATTTACTGCTGAACCATTCAGCAAGTAAACTTGAAGGAATACAAACATAAAAGCAATCGCCCCGAAAACACGTCATCCTCCACTCAAGCCGACACGTGGCTACACGTTTTCCCCGCCCTTCTGATAAAATTCATTTCATCACTAACTAGAGCAAGTGATGGAACACTAATACACTTGCCTGCGTCATGGTTGGCAATAAAAAAAGCTTCGTCAATCTCCCGAGCATACTTATTTTTATGTCGGGCTAAAATCTTAATTTCATTAAACACTAGAGAGCACGCACATCTGTCACAGTGGACCGCTAGGTTGCCCGACAGCCCGACATAAAAATAAGTATGCTCGGGAGATTGACGAAGCTTTTTTTATTGCCAACCATGACGCAGGCAAGTGTATTAGTGTTCCATCACTTGCTCTAGTTAGTGATGAAATGAATTTTATCAGAAGGGCGGGGAAATACGTGTAGCCACGTGTCGGCTTGAGTGGAGGATGACGTGTTTTCGGGGCGATTGCTTTTATGTTTGTATTCCTTCAAGTTTACTTGCTGAATGGTTCAGCAGTAAATATTTCAGTTGTAAGTCAGCGCTGTGTCTGTGTGGTTTCTTTTACTGGTCCTTCGTCTTTCTGCGCTGTTTTAACCCATTCAATATGACCATCAACCAACTCGCCCAACTTTCCACCTTGTTGCTTGTTCCGCTGGGACTACAAGTGGGGGCTTCCTGCGTGCTGTCACCCATACCTTTCGATTTAATTGTTTCTGCATGTATTTAGAATGTTCATGTCAGCGTGGTAAAAGGCATCTCCCTGTTTGATTCATTGCAAAACAAAGAAAACTAAACAGTACTCAAAACCAGCCTGCGACTACTGTGATGAGGAAATTTACGAGGTAACTATATTAAAGTATTAAAATCGGTTTCACTGGGAATATATTTTTAAAGCGCTAGCATTAGTGCCCTGGTACCTGCCCTGACCTTGGACTAGTTTGGAGCACACGTATATGAAGTTTGCAGCGTCGCCACGGCATGGCGACACTGCTTCACTAACTGTAGAAGCTGGTAAGGAAACACGTTCTGCAATGGCAGATAGATGGTGGCGGTGTGTATATTTCGAGAGGCTTGGCTATAGGCCTCGCAAGTGGGCTCATTTTCGTCTTCTGCGCATGAGAAAGGAAGTAGCGGTGACGTCAGAACGCCGAGCCCTGATTGGCTGATCGCGACCCCCTATCTGAGCGTCGTCTGCTCCTTTGCAACGTCGTCTGCTCGCAACGTCGTCTGCGTCTGTCTTACCTTTCCTGCGACTTTCGGAAGTGCAGGTCTTTACGAGCGAGCTCGACTTCGCCTTTCAGAGAGGGCAGACGAAATAACTCGAGCAGTACGTTGTTTATGTCTAACAACTAGCAGACGCGCATCAAGGAGGGAAGTCAAAGGACTCACTGGCGAGGTGTCCCGAGGCGCCGAGGTTTGTTTGCTAAAAACCGAGAGGGGGTAAGCGTGTTAGCGCCCGCAAGTTCCCTCCCAAATACTTTTTCCCTCCTTTCGTGTGCGGCGAGACCCCCATT